TGCGTGCTGCCCGGCTTCCAGCGAGCCAGCCCCACAAAGGACCGAGAGGTTAATTCAATTTGGCCGGAATCTCTGGAATCCGCGCCGCCGCCGCCGCCCCATTTCAGGGCGCTTTCTACCCTCTGCCTTTGGCTGGCACATGGAAGTGGTGGGGGGGCAGCCCTTGTGCCGAGGGCAGGATGCCCAGAATCCCAATCACCAGAGCCAAGAGGAACCGTGGGAGCTGGCATGCTGGCTGGGAATCATGGAGGCTGGGCCCCAGTCACTGCAGAGGGCACCTGGTGGGGACCCTGACTTAGGAAGACCCCAGGCTTCCTGGTGTTAATTCTGCTTCTTGTTTCCTCTCCAGGCAAGCTCCGCTCTTTCTTTTCCCAGGTGGGTCGCTTCTTCACCCAGCCTCGCCAGAGATTTGCAAAGCTGCAAGCAGCAGCGGGAACTGTTTTAATCTCTGCTCCGTGTCTGTGGTGTCTAACCCTGGATCTGCTTCAGTCGCTCCCTGGGCTTCAGGGCCGTTGCAAATGTTGCCCGAGTGCTTTCCAACCATGCCAGGGTAGAATCAGTGCCAACTTGTGGGTAAGAAAAGGGTCAGGTCTAGGCAGGAAGAGGGCAACAAGGACCATTTTCCAAGAATCTTTACCTTAAAAACCATGATTGCAATTTAAGATGAACAGATGAAACGTGAGCGAAACGAAAGGGACTATCTGGAGAATACCGTGACAGCAGCCGTGCCAGGCACCGACACATCCTGGCTAGATTCAGATCTCCTCAACACAATTGCAGTTGTGTGGTTTGAGGGATGATCCACCCCAATGGAGTTGCATCGCAGAGAAAGCGGTCTCCTCCACCCCCAAACTCTGGCTTGGAGGATTGGTTGCAAGTGGCTAAAATAAAATGGATGTGCAGCCCGCATCAGTCTGTAGGGGCTTGTGGGGTGCGGAACGATGAACCGAAACAACATTCCTCTCATTGGAAGCCTTTAAAGCAGTGTTTTTCAAACTTGGCCACTTTAAGATGTGTGGACTTCAACTCCCAGAATTCCTCAGC